TGCTGGTTTATGGGCTTCTCAAGCATCCTTCACAAACCTTCCAACACATTCCTGTGTACCACATAAAATTCCCACCATTTGGATAGTGGCCTGACCAGTATGTCAGCGTCTCTCTTCTTGCAACTGGAGTTTTGTTTTGTTTTTTTTTCCTGAATGCTCTAGTTTCTGTGGCTTGTTACCCTTCCCGACTTCCTATGATCTGTCCCTCTCTTGTTCTACAGTGAATCGATTTCATTGCATCTCCTTTTGGAGGGAGATCACAAGTGCTAGAACATGCTCACAGCCTATGGCAAACTTGCACAAATTTGATACAGTCCCAAAGAGAAAGTAGTCAGCTCTCTTCCTTCAACAGAACTGTAGCCCTTGGCTGCAATGGCATTTCATCCTGTGTGACATAGGTGACATCGTTAATGTTCACTAAGGTTTGCAGTACGATTTCTGAAAGGTGGAGAAAGCCGCCTACTGAAGACAGAGCCCAGACCTTGCATTTTCACATGAAACGTAATGGAGGGAATGATCTGGAGCTCCTAATCAAGGTAAATATGCATATGCTATGCTATTAATTTAAAAGATAACAGGACAAATACCAGTCTCAGCGATAATACTCGGGTAAATGTGGAATTACTCTGTCAATTCCTGCAGAATTACTTGAGATTTACAGTTGTGTCTCTAAAATCAGAATGCAGGCCTTGGTCTTGATTTTGAGGACTGTACGTATTAAGTACTGGATTTATTAGGATGTTTTCCCAGCCAGCTTCCACCAACAGCAATGGCAGTTAGGTGCCTTTTGGTTTGGGTTTTTTGGGGGGTTTGGGTGGTTTTAACAAAAAATATCTAACCATAGGTTAAACCAGAGCCCCAACACTCTGTCATAAGGAAGGACAGGGAAATTGAGTGGGTGAGGGGAATATGGGGAGGAGCATGCTATAAGTACATAAAAAGGAACGTTAATAGGGAAACTAAAAATAAATGGGGGCTACAGATGAATCCTGCTGTAACTGCTTTGACCTCAATGGAGTCACATTTTGTTTCCACTGAGCCATCGCCTCCAAACCTGGCTTCATATGTGATCCTTCATAAATAGCTAAACATGCTGTAATTCACTAGTTCTGTTCGCCCTTTATTGCTGTTAAGGGACTTCTGAGCTAAAAAGGAAGGTATCTCAGCTGCTTATAAATTTGCAGTCATGGAACTAGTCAGAACCGTGCAGGGAGGCTACATTTCAGCTATACCAAGCCGCTATAATAACAAGGATATCAGAACATCATTTGGACACATACATTTTGGCACTGAAAACATGTAATACCTTCTGGCAGATATTAAACTTAAAGGCCACTTCAGCGTATTACCAGGAACAGCTGGGAATACATAATAAAAACCAGAAAACAATAAAAGGGGGGCAGTGGTGAGATACAAATCCAAGGTGATTACCTTCTCTTAAATTCTTAAACTGTATTACCAGTGAAGTAAAACACTGCTAAAGACTCCTGATGATGATACATCTATCTACTTAATGCGAACCTGCTATAAGAACAAGCCTGAGTTTCCTTTTACTTAAGGCAGTGCAAATGCCTTGATATTACACTAGCATTCCTTGTTCTGTTACTCGCATGCAACAATTATGTCCAGACCCTTCACAAAGATCTGCTTCTCCAGTATTGAACTCCATTCCTCTGCTTAACTGCATTATTTAAATGCAGACAAAATAAAGGACCGACTCCCATTGGTGACAGTGGTATTTGGATGAATTGTAAGACCCTGACTTTAGTGTAGTTCAAGTGTACATAAAGAAGCGGGACCTAACCTCTAACCAGCACCAACTGTCCTAGACCATCTGAAATTACTAAAACTAAAAATATTTACATTCAGTGCAGAGCCACTTTCCCAGATGTCTGTAGTATAACAGGATATAGAGTGCTGATGATATAAGGACACAGGTAACTGACAGAGTTTCCAAATCAGTGCTTTGGTCATCGTACCACAAATACTGGACACTTCACAGATTGTGATCTAGAACATAGAGAGGCAATCAGTGTCCAGATGGCCTCTATCCAGCTACTGGGAATGGTAGCTGGTTAACTGGCAGATCAAACTAAGTGGGAAGTTATCTTCCGGGGCAGCAGGAGGATGAATTTGTACAGACAGAAAGAGAACATGTCATGGTGACCGCATGCCCACCGCTGTGCCTTGAGTTTCTGAAACAGTCTGGCTACAGCGATGGTGGATAAGCTGCTGGATGAGAACTCAGTTTTGTACAGTTCCCATTTAGTCCTCTAGCATCAGGCCTGAGCTTTGCCTCTGGCTGCTTCAGTGTGAGCCTCGACAGCTGTGAAATGAGGAAGCCAGGGGAGTGCACCCCTCTGTCTGTCTCTTTTTCTCTGCCCTAAGATATGTCCCTCAGCAAAGAAGTATTTAAGACTTCCCTGATGGAATTAAACTAATACAATTTCCTTATCCTTCAGCCTAAAATCAGAGAAAATATGGGGACCTTTCATATGCTTCTGGTTTTAAACTTTCCCATGACCATCAACATCAGATCTTTCCAGAAATTCCTCCCCTCCCATCCCCCATGATGCATTTAGAAAGGTGGGTTTTCTTCCATAATCTGCAGGATTGTGGAACTGGCAGTTCCTTTACCTGTATCCTGTATGGTTTAGTACAGCTTGGGAGCTTTGCTCCAAATTAGCATTGCAAGTAATACCTGAAAGAGTTGAGATGCAGAGCACAATAGCAGGCATTTGACAACTGTTATGCTGAAATCAGTGGAACATACAGCACCTTTTTTCCAGCCCTGCTACTGCATTTCTGATGAGCTCCTTATGGTGCAGAGCAGTAGCAGGTGGCCCAGACCAGCAGCAGGCAGCCTACCTAGTGGTCTGCAGTACACCTTCTCCATGGGAGCTCAGAAGCGGAGGTGAGCTCACTCTTCTGTTACAAACTGGGAGCTACGTGAATGTACGTGAATGAACCAGTAGTACTTAGTACCAGCAGTCGGGGCCTGCAGCTTACCCTTCCTCAGAGTATATGCAGAGAAAGCTAGGGTCTCCTTTGAAATACCTGGAGCTATCTTCACAGATGCACTAAGATTCACAAAGCTCATAGGCAGATAGAGTCTGGCTTGCACCACTAAGAAACACACAACTTTGTTCTGAAGGTTTTTAGCAGTCAACAGAAATAGTACTTGGGAAAGGTCAGCAACTCATCTTTCTGGACCAATAACAATAACAGGGCCAGCAAGGTTGTTCTGTGATGACACCCACAGTGAATTATGACCTGTGGGGGCTGTGTGATAGCAGGAGCAAATAAAATGTGGTAATGTGAGCCGCAGCTCGGGCACTGCGCTCTTTATGGCAAGGCCCTATTACTTTCACCAACTACAAACTTACAAACAGCCAAGAAGGGGGGGAGTGAGGGGAGCGGGAAATGGACAGATGATGCTATTACCAGCGCGATGATTCTGTGTCTTTACAAAGCAGCGAGCTTTGTAACAAGATGCCCACTGTCACTTAGAGCCAGAGTATCGCTGTGTGTGCCTTTGACAATGATCAGTGAGAAACACTGAGATCAGATGGCCAGCGATTGGAAGGGTGAGCTTTGAATGGATGTGCCTAAGCAAAAAGATTCTGTTAAACAAGTAATTAACCCAATCTCTTAGCCCCCACTTCTGTGCTGCACAGCACCTTACCGGAGTGTTGAAATGAATGGCTGAAGGCCCCAAGATGAAGATGTAAAAGAAATTGGTAGCTTTGATTCTGGTTCCAGCTCTGCTATGGGTTTGCTGCGTGACCTCGGTCAAGTAACTCAAACCCCTATCGAACACGTTCGGGCTCATCCACTGCTTCCTCTTTTCCCTGCTAGAGGTTACACCCCTTCAGTCCTGCACCTATGGTCCATCCCTAGCAATTGAGGCCACCTGTAGCACTTTCAGTAAAATCCTACCAAAACCAAATCGACTCTGAAACATTTCCTCAGAATTCTGGATCTGCTCCATCCATGTCTGCTGAAAGGAATTGGTACCTAATGTTCCCCACATCAATCGAAAAGACAAATCTATTAATATCAAGCATGAATGATTTTCCAAGTTGAAGGGTACTGCCTTGAGCAGGTGGCTGTGAGATGCTTCCTAAGCACTTAAACCCAGAGAAGCCCAAGAGAAACCTGAATACAAAAATCTTTTTAGATTTTCTTTCTATGTCTCTATTTTAGTTTGATGAACTATTTTTCAATTTTCTCCTTATTTCCTTAATCCCCACTGCTTTTAAAATTTTCTATCTACTTTTACCTTGTTTGCTGTCTTCATTTCCCTGTATTTATGTTTTAATTTCTTGTCTCTCCTTAGTGCTGTTTATTTTTACATTTTATTTCCCTGTTGAAGCTTGCCCTCTCTATTTTTAATTTTTTTCCTTTATTTCCCTAATGCTCAAAGCTTTTAAAGTGTGCGGTGCTGGTGGGTGCTCGGCGCGCAGAGCGCGTTACTGCAGCGCCAGCCCCGCACGGGCAGTTGCCGGGCGCCATCCCGGCGGCAGTGGAGGGCCGGGACCAGCGGGGAGACGAGCGACTCCTGTCGGCAGGGGCAGGGCTGTCTCCTGGCCCCCAGGGGGTAGCGGCGCGGGAAGCCTCAAGCTGCTGGCTGCGGCAGGCTGCCGGTGCGCTGGAGGCGAGCCGGGTCCCGGCAGCCTCAGGGAGTTACCCGAGAGCGGACGGAAGGGAAGAGGGGAAGAAGGCGGACATGGGTTTATTTTGTGCTGTCGCACACAAATCTATAATTTTTTTACGAAGAAAAAGCCGGTTTGGGGTGAATTGCCCGCCGGCAGGTCCGGCCGCACAGCCGCATCACCACGGCAACGGCCCCGCGCTCGCGCCGGTGCGTCTTCACTATGGCAACCCCTCCGGTGGGTGGGAAAGAGGGTGGGCCAATCAGAACGGGGGCGCCGGTGGCGATTGACGGCAGCGACGGGCCAATGGAGAGGGGATTTCCTGGGGGGGCGGGGCGGCGGCTAATGGTCGCGCGGCCTGGGGCGATCCGAGAGCGGAGGGGGCCGGGGGAAAATGGTGGTCGCGTCGGTCGCGCAGTGGGTGGTTTCAGAGGGAAGGCAGGGTCTGATGCTTGGCTGGTCTGGGCCGCGCCCGTCGCAAGCACGTCGTGAGGCAGCTAGACCGCATCAAGGTGAGCGGGTGGTAACGGGTAACGTGGCGGGGGGCGGCGGGGGCTGAGGAGGCAGAAAGGTGTGATGGGGAGAGGCCGAGGGGGTTCTGCGTGGGGCTGGGAGAACAGACGGCCTGAATGGGGGACTGTAGGGTTGGAGCGGGGTGCCTGGGCCCGGTTCCCCGCGGGCTGCCTTCGGCCTGGAGGGTTTGGGGTGCGGTGCTGGTGATGCCGGAGTTATAAAGCCTGGAACGGCGATAAGAAAGCGGTATCTGGCCCGTGCTGGTGCCGCATGGCAGAGACGCGGGGCCGGCTCCTCTGCAGTTGCCCAGCGCACCCCAAAACTGCCCTTGAGGCCCTGGTGGTGCTGGGCTGTGGAGTGGCTGTTCTTCCCCTGCCCCCCAGCATCGCTCAGAGGAGCTGCAGAGGTGCTGAGGAAGCAGAGAGTGTGACCTGGTTTTGGAGCTCAGAAGCAGTTGTGTGGCTTTAGGCTTAGGAGCGGGGGTCGAGTCCGGCGTTTTGGGGACTTGAGCAGAGGCTCAGCAGTTGAGTTTTGGGGCTCAGAAAGGGGCACTAAATGATCTGTTTTGGGGGCCATGAGCAGAAGCCATTTTGGCTGGTTTTGCGGGGGGGGCAGGAGGGCGTTGGGGGCTGCGGGGGAAAGCAGGGGCAGGGATGGTGCGGGGAGGCTCCCTGGAGCGGGAGGGTCTGGTCACATTGGACTCTGAAGTTCGGGAGGCCAGCACACACCGGCCTGAACTCGATGTCTGAGGTGGTCTGTGGGGGGAAAAGGTGCTTTTCGGATCCCGCACGCCCTCTTCGAGTCTAGCTCTTCTCTGCGCACCGCTTAGGCTAGTTATTAAGTAATTTAGTCATACAAACTAGTTAATATTTCTATGATGTACAGTTGTGATGTTTAATTGTAATATTCAAGATCTGACGGCAATCAGTTGATGCCCTGGACAAAAGCCCAGACTGTTGCAAACAGTTTGTAGTGAGAAGGAGCTGAAATCGACTGGTTCTTCAGTGCAGAGTGGGGGCTTGGATTAGCCAGAGCTGTGGCAAGCAGGAGCTGCAGAGACGGGAGCGCTCACTGCCTGGAGTGTGTATTACCCAGAGGCAAGACTGCTGCCAGTGGTAATAAGCGGGAGCTGCAATTAGCTGGGGAGTCTGTTGGCTGGAGCATCTGACATCCACCTGGGCCATGCTCCCTGCAGGGCTGAAGAACAGCTGGGTGGGCTGCTCGGCAGTGGCTGGTCCTGAGTGTGGAGCTTCAAGCAGCAGGGAAACAAGCCATTCTTCTGCCAGCAGGCAGCCCGATCCCTTCCCTCAGGGATGAGATCTATGCCAGGTGGCCTCTGTGCGTGGAGGGTCTGTCCTGGCCCTGCTCCCAAGGGCTGAGGTGGGGTGAGGGTTCCTCGACTTGTCCCTGTTGGCTGGGTATGACAAACGGGGTCATTTCTCTCCTCTTCTTTTCCCAGGGTCACCTTCTGCGGGGCGGGAAGGAAGTCCTGCAGGGCTGATTCTGCTTGCTGCTCAGGTAACAGAACACATGGGGCTGGGGGAGTGGGAGAAACGTTTGCCAGTTCAGGGATGCTACAGATGCTCCACGTCCATGTCGTGGAAAAGGCAAATTTGCTGCCAGTGGGGAAAAGCTAATGAAGAACTGCAGTTAACGGAGAGTGCCTCCTGCCCGAATTAGGCCCTCAGTAGTTAGAAATGTCTCCCTTTGGGGTAAGAGAACAAACTTTCACCTTGGCTCAATTGAGACTTGCCCATTACCTTCTTTGGGCTCAAGTGTTTCTCTTATCTTTGTTCTTACTATTTTTTGCAGGCAACTTGGAAGCAGTCTCTTATTTTTGACTTGTAACTTTATTTTTATTAGTATGTGGTGTCAGTGTAGTTGATTTTTGAGCACCTATATGCTGGTGGAAATGTAGTGAATGAAACATGATGGAAATGGATGCGTCACTTGATTTATATTCTCTTTTTTTTTTTTTTTTGAGTAGCGATGGCACATCTTTGTTCTTACTATTTTTTGCAGGCAACTTGGAAGCAGTCTCTTATTTTTGACTTGTAACTTTATTTTTATTAGTATGTGGTGTCAGTGTAGTTGATTTTTGAGCACCTATATGCTGGTGGAAATGTAGTGAATGAAACATGATGGAAATGGATGCGTCACTTGATTTATATTCTCTTTTTTTTTTTTTTTTGAGTAGCGATGGCATGTTTTTCTATGGCTCAGTCCATGACCTTTAAGTAAAAAAAGTTTGTCATTCCAGGAAAAGACTAGTCCTTCTTAGGACTGAGGTGTAGAGTCGGAGGGTCTCTTAAGGACATGATCAGAGCAAGAAGCCAAATTTCACTTAGTGTTGCTGCTATTGGTCTTTGCTTTTGTTAATGCCCCCAGAGCTCCCTTGCAGGTGTGAGGTCTGAATCATAATTTTTTTTTCAGTCTCTAACACGTTTTTTTCCCCAAGGAGCGGCTACGTTGAAAAGTGAATGAGTTTCCTCCCAGACGTGCCAGTGACTACCATCGAGTTACGATTATTAAAAGCACAAAAGCAACATGCCCTTAGAGATGGGGACTACTTCTGGATACGTGTTAATCCTGTGCAGGTGTTCTTGGGATACAGATCATCTGCACTTCCTGCTCTGACAAGGCAGTGTGCTGAGACAGGGATGAGCTCCTGAAGACAAAAAAAGAGGCCAGGTGCTGGGGTTTTTGTCTCTTTCTTTGTTTTGTGTGGGTGGGTGGTTTCCAAAACAGGGTGTGAGGTTGACTGCAGTGGCAGCCCGCAGAGCTCTTTTGCTGTCTGACCTCCCCTTTTCTTTTTCACTCCTCTTTCATGGCTGTAACTTTCATTTGGATCATTTTAGCAGAGTAGTTAAGTGACTTGCCTGTGGAAATGTGCTGATAGTAGCAAGAAGGTAAATGCTTGAAGCAGTAGTGAGCAACTTGCCTACAGGTAGAATTTGTGAAAGAATAACAACAACAATAGCAGAAAGCAAATCACAAGTTTCCAAAAAATCGTGTGTGTTAAACACATCGAAGTTTAATTGCTAAATGTTGTTTGGCAGTGTGTTCCAAGTGGCTATTTTTGATAAAAAGTTCAGGGTTGTGTATGTTACAACCTGTCCCTCTATCTATGTGTCCTGCTCCATAAATGTCTGGCGGCAGGGCTGTTGTTCACTGCTCTAGGTCTGGACGCAGTAGGACTGTGATATTTAGACCTGACAGATGGGTTTAGGAACGGAAGGAGAATGCCTGTCTTCTGTAAGGGCTGTGAACGCTGACCCTTTTCTCCTGCTGCTGCTTTCCTGTGCAGCAGGTGAAGGTGTTTTATTTTTCTCCCTTGTTCCTGGTCTAGCTATCTCTGAAATGGCTGTTGTGGGTTTGCAATTAGTGTTACTGGGTTTTTGTGGAGCTCTTGTTGTGGATCAGTTCTGATGGTGTCAAGATGAGGTGTTCAGCTTGCAGCTCCAGAAGTCACATCCCCTGAAATGGGTGCGGGTGAAGCTGCCGTTGGGCCTGTGGCTGTGCTTGTGGGGGTGCTCAGGGGCTCCCCATCAAACAGCAGGGTGTGTGTGGGCACCCGTGGGGCTGTGTTTTGCTCTGGGAGCTGCCCTGCTTTGGCTGTTGGGGGACAGAACAAAGTGTGTGCCTGGTAAATCCCAGGGCAGTCAAAAGCTGGGAGCAAGTTTGGTGATGCGACAGCAGTTTGAAAAGTTCTTGGCTGTTGAGAGAAACAGCCTGGAAAAAAATAATTTCTTTTTTTGCAAGAAGGCAGTTTACAAGGACAGCTGGATTGTTCTACCTTTTAACAACAACATTCAACTTGGGATGTATAGGGTGAGGAAGCCTTGGCTCTGTGTAGGCTTGAGAAAAGGTAGGTAGGCATCTGGGGCTGTCACTTGTGTGTATCTGGGCAAGTGGCCCTAGTGAAACTGAAGCTGCCAGTGGGTCAAAAAAAGGCAGGATTGTCTTAAAAATGCAAAAGCTCTAGTGGCTGGGTCTGTTGGGGTCTGTAGGGATTTGTAGGGGCACGTGGGGTCGGTAGGGGTCTGCAGGGTTCTGTATGGGGTCTGTAGGGGTTCGTGGGGTTTCGTAGGGGTCTGTAGAAGTCTGTAGGAAATCATAGGGGTCTTTATGGTATTGTAGCGGTCTGTAGGGGTTCATAGGCATCTGTTGGGATTTGTAGGGGTTTGGAGGGGACTGTAGGGGTTCGTGGGAGAAAACAGGGGTCCATAGGGTTCTGTAGAGGTCTGTAGGGAATCATAGGGGTCTTTAATGTATCGTTGGGGTCTGTAGGGAATCATAGAGTCTTTACGGTATTGTCGGGGTCTGTAGGGGTTTGTGGGGTTTCGTAGGGTCAGTAGGGCTCTGTGGGGGTTCATAGGGCTCTGTGGGGGTTTGTAGGGGTCCGTGGGGTCCATGGAGTCTGTATGAATTCGTAGGGGTCTGTGGGGGTCTGTAAGGTGTCGTTGGGGTCTGTGGGATTCTGTGGGCATCCGTAGGGGTCCTTAGGGACTCGTGGGGGTCTGTGGACTTTTGTGGGGGTTTGGTGGATCTGTGGGGATCTCTAGGGGTCCGTGGGCGTCCGTAGGCATTCATAGGGATCTGTGGTGGCCCTTATGAATGTGTAGGAGTCCGTGGACGTACTTGGGATCCATGGGGGTCTGTAAGAATTTGTGGGTGTCCATGGGGGTCTGTGCCGGTCCGTGGGCATCATAGGGGTCTGTGGGAGTTCATGGGTGTCTGTGGGGTCTGTAAAGGTTCGTTGGGGTCTGCGGGGGTTGGTGGGCAATTGTGGGGGTCTGTGGTGTCTATGGGCATCTGTAGGGAGAGGGGGCCAGGGAGGGTGGATGGTGGGGTCAGAGGGTTGGCAGG